GTGTGAAATCACGAAAGGGACGATAGCGCAGTCTTCGATCTTGTCGCTGTTCTACTAGGATTCAGCCGTGGTTGTATATTCGCTGCAGTATTCTCAGCAATGGCTCCCACTGCACCTCCCCAGGCGACCAACTCGCCAGCCAAGAAGACATCAGCCCCAGAGAAGAAATACAAGTGCCAATTTTGTAATCGCGCCTTTAGCAGAAGCGAACATCGCAGCAGACACGAACGTTCGCGTAAGTAGAGTGGTCTCTTTTCTATATGGTCTTCTTTTCCTGTGCGCGGGGCTAGGTGTACTGTCTTTGCAGACAGGCTAGTTACTGTGCTACAGCTGTGTGTTTCGCGTCGTTCAGTCTTAGGGCACAATACTAACCTTCGTTGCTTCATAGATACCAAGGAGAGGCCGTTCAAGTGTCTGAAGTGCCGGAGTACTTTCGTCCGTCGCGATTTACTCCTTCGTCATGACCGTACCGTTCACGCAAAGGACGGTGGGATACCGCTAGTTTCCGAGGGCCGGCGACGTGGTGGCGCGGGTGTCCAAAAGACTTCCCCCGCACCCGCCCCGTCCAAGCCCTCGATCACAATTGATCCTGCTACTCTCGAACAAATAGAGGCCAGCAGTGATGGTATGGTTGATCTTGAAACTGCAGCCATGTTGATGACAGATTTCCAACATAAGGCCGCAGCCGCCGCTACTGGTCAAGCCAATGAACGTGCTGAATCGGATCGCTCCTTTTCCCCTGGACGCGGTCCTTTATTAGAGCCTCCTGTGTCGTACATGTCGGGCAACGCGACCTTGCCGCAGATGCCTTGGGACACCTTGGTTTCCCCGGCGGACACGAAGCACACGATGGGATCGCCATTCGTGTCTCAAGACAGTGGCTCGGAATCGCATACGCTGCCCTCGGTTATGGACCGACACGGCGCTGTGGGTGATGCGCTTGCTCCCTCGCTGCACTCCCTGGTGAACTCGCTGCCCATGTCTGGAAACTCAACGCCGAATGCGCTTTCCCCGTATCCCTCGATGACCGGTCCCGTCAGTCCAGTGAACTACCGCCGGTCGCCCGGTCCTAGCCAAGCCCTGACGCTGCCCAAGGCCCCGCAGATTGCCAACGAGATCGAGCGAAACATGGTTGTTGAACGTCTGCACAATGTGGATTCTCTCAATGTGCTCCCTGAGACCTTCCAGCTGCCTCCGACCGCATCTCTCAACAAGTATCTCTCCACGTACTTCAATCTGTACCACCCTCACCTGCCGTTCTTGCACCAAGAGTCTTTCAAGCCCACCGCTGTTTCACCGCCATTGCTGCTCGCGGTCCTGTCTATTGGTGCTCTGTACACCTTCGAGCGGCAACATGCATTCATGCTCCACGTGGGGTCCAAGATGCTGGTCAACCAATTCTTGCAACATAAGGACAACTTTGACTCGCGCAAGTGCCCTCTCTGGGCCATGCAAAGCACCCTGCTGAACATGATTTTCGAGAGCTGGAGCGGTGATCCCAAGGGCCTCGAATGGACCTGTTCCATCAAGAGTCTTCTGGCCAATGTAAGCGCATTCCCTTTATCGTACTATTTGAATGATGCTGATAAATGTAGATGGTTGCCGGAAACCGCTATCAACTGAAGCTCCGGACCGAAGCGCGCGAGGGTGCTCAGCCGACCCGCGAGGAGTGGATCGAGGACGAGTCGTGTCGCCGGACGTACTACGCCGTTTACATCTTCTTCGGCATGCTCACGCTGACTTTCAACCACACCCCAGCGATGAGCTTTGACGAGTTTGACAACTTGGAGCTGCCTTCCTCGGAATCCATGTGGAACCTGGATGTGACGGACGACGAGGCGTGGCGCCGCAGCTTGGCGTCCTCCACGCCGCTTACTGTTCGTGAAGCGCACGACTGCCTTTTCCAGGGCGAGCAGACGCGCTACAGTGCTTTCGCCACTCGCGTGCTGATCAACGCGCTCTTCCTGCAAGTTTGGAACCATAAGAGGAGCTTCGAGGCCCTCCAGGACGTGGTGACCGAATACAAGCTTCGCTTGGCGCTGGAGACGTGGGAGAGTTCGCTTGAAGTGTGCGAGCCGGAAACGATTGTGGTGCCTCTCAGCACCCCTCAAAAGGGCCACCCCTTGATTTTCAACTCGATGGCCGTCTACCGCAACACCCGCGCTCGCCTGGAAGTTGACCTCAAGTCCATCCAGGAGGCTCTGCGCTACCACTCATCTTACGAGGTCGCTGCTGCGATGACGGTCGCTCGCGAGAAGGTCAAGCGGTCTCAGGAGATGAACAAGGTGATCCAGTCGTGCTTTGAGTGCATTGAGATCGCCGCTGTTCAGGGCATCAACTGGGTCGCCAAGACATCTGCAACCAACTGGAGCGTCGAGCATCCTCTCTGCGGCTTGGATTTGATGGTCATCCTCAGTCTCTGGCTCTATCGCCTGGAACATGACGAAGAGCCCGCATCGGAGGCTGAGATGGCCATCTACAATAAGGTGCGGAATCTGTTTGATGATGACGCCGTCGATGCTTTTGGAAAACTCAGCTCCACCGTGGCCCGTGTATGGGGTAACATCCTAGACGGCGTGGTAGTTTGGGGGTAAGTTGATTCCTGCTATGCTTATGCGGTGATATTGTTTGCTAACTTGAAACAGAATTACGAAGCTCATGGGCGAGTCATTCAAACTTCATTCCCAGGCCTTGGTCGGCTACGAAGATTCGTTGCGCGTTGCCAAGGACCAACCTATTCACCCAATGCCGACGAAGACGCTTGCCAGCGTTGGCACCGCGTACTAGTGCGAGCAACATCTCCACTCGACAGATAGGTAGCATGACTATGGTCATCTACATCTTCGACTAAGTTCATCTTCATTATCGTTACATTCATTCCTTACGCGGGCATTGGTTTACATCTGATTTGGGTCGCTGGTGGATTTCGGATTGGGTCGGGAACGGCGAGCAAGTGGCGGCAGGATTCCCCAGGGAATGCCATGATCTGAACTGCCGCATTATGCTGCTTGCTGGCGTTCCCTGGCTCACAGTTAATTGCTTTATTGTTTTCTGCGACGTCTTTCATTGCGTTATGGTTTCGCAAGAGCTCACGGGAGTCCGGTGTGGTCATTTTCTTGTTTTTGTGGGTTGTTTTCCCAAGGCAACATCTCGACACCCGGCTGGTCCTGTGTGTTCGTCCTAGCACTCGGTGGAGTTGTTGTTTTCATTGCCTTCTTATACGCTCTTCTACGCCCTAATCATTAGTGCCTCCGTTCTACATGTGCGCATCAGCGTGTTTGGTCAATTGCCATGGGGTTACCCTAGGCCATCTTTGATACCTTTGTCCGTTATATACATTCTTCTGCTTCAAGTCATTCGTTCCACCTTTTGATCTATTACTTTGTTCGTGACCACTTAATGTATTGCGTTAAATCGTTTGATATAGTGATGTGTTTATGTGTCCCCGCCGTTGATGTTCTCCGCTCTGATTTGATCTGCTTTCAACTGCTTTGATTTTGGCCTTCTTGATTTGATTTGTTTAATTGCACATGCTTTGCTTGACCTTATCAGTAGTTCTCTGTACCATAGTAATTTGCGCAGAAAATATAACTTGTTGGCGGGGTCTTTGCAGTCCAGTATTGTAGAGTTGTTGAACTGGCTAAATGGCTGGACTTAGCTGGAGTTGGCTTTATCGACGAGGTGAAAGAGTGGGTCAACCAGCACGGTGGATCGGTGGGGGATCTGGTTCGCGGGTGCTTATCAGGAAAGAAAGGAGGCCGACAATCGCGGGGAATGAGGTGACCTGAAAGAAGATGAAGAGGAATGAAATCCATGGAAGTTGCAGAGACTGGAATTTGGGAGATCACTGGACCGGAGCAGGTGACTTGGTGCTTACCCCTCTTCTTTGCTTCGTTCCTGATCCTACAAGTACAAGTACAAGTACTCCATCCATAGTTAGCTCCTGATTCTCTTTCCTCTTCCCCTCACCTTATCACTCACTTACTATCGCCCAACTGAATCAATCATGGCCCTCCCTTCCAACGTCCACGTTTCGTCCCATCCCCTCCTCCAAGCCAAGCTCTCACAGCTCCGGTCCGCATCCACCTCGACCCGCGAGACCCGCAGTCTGGTGCACGAGATAGCGACTATCTTGGGTGTGGAGGCATTTGCAGCAGGATGGAAGGTGAAGAAAGCAGGGATGGTAGGTTCACTCGTCAACTAGCCAATCCTCAATGTATGTATTTACTGACTGACTTCTTTGAATAGGACACCACCCCGTTAGGCACCGAATACGTCACTCACGACATTGATCCTTCGGACATTGCCTTGGTGCCTATTCTCCGGTCCGGGTTGGGCATGATAGAGGGTAGTAATCCCCTGCCCCATACTCTCACCGATCAATTCGGTCGCCCAATTACCCAGTATTTAATAAGGTAGCAAAACTGATAATGGATTAAACAGCGATGAACAACCTTCTCCCCACCTCCGTCCCAATCTACCACCTCGGTCTCTTCCGCGAACGTCTCACCCTTCAACCCGTCGAATACTACAACAACCTTCCCTTCCAGCCTGACAGTTCCAGCACTAACACCGCCGCCGCGGCCACAGCCATTCTCCTTGATCCGGTCATTGCAACGGGTGCTACCGCTGAGGCAGCGATCCAGTTACTCCGTGAATGGGGCGTGCAGAGGGTCGTCATGTTGAGTGTGTTGGGTTCGGAGGCGGGTTTGCTTCGCGCGGCGGGCACTTGGCCGGAGGGCGTGGAGGTGTGGACTGGGGCCGTGGATGCCAGGTGTGATGAGCGGGGGATGATTGTGCCCGGGTTGGGGGATATTGGGGATCGGTTGTTTGTTGCGATGGGGAAGTAGGTTGCAGTATGCAGTATACTAGTATACTAGTCTACTTACTATGGGCGGCATGTAGTGAAAGAGATGGATAGATAGCTAGGAGCAGATAGGTAGATGGGATAAATAGACATATGAAATGATCTTACCAGCCACTTGATTGATAAACTGAAATCACCGTCCCCTCTGCAAAAACCCCAATACATCCATCTCAACCCCATACTCCACCTCATCCCTACCAACACCACCAACACCAGCACCAGTAGCAGTACCCTGATTCACATTCATCCTACTCCCCATCCCCACATTCAACCCACCCACCGGAATCTCCCTCCCAGTCGTAGAAGTCGGAGTCATCGGCCCCAAACTCGGCGACGCAACAATACCCACATCCATCCCCGTCGTCAACGCCACCCCGATCTCATTCTCCTTATACATAGTCCCACTCCCAGCAGATGCAGAATTCTCCGGCGTGATGTTCCTCTGATGCAGCCCTGCACTAGTACCATCCAAACACCTCCCATCGTGCACATGTCCATGCCCATGATGATGAGTGATGAACTTCTCCCCAATCCCACCCCGTCCGTGATGAATCCCCCGCGTGAGAAGCATCTGGCGGCGGAGAGTTTGTGCGCGTTCTTCGCGGAATTCGGCGGCTATATTTCCCATTCCCCATGGGTGGTGGTTGTTAGATGAGTGTGGATGTGTATGGGGTATGGGGAAGGGTAAGGGTATGGGGAAGGGGATAGGCATACCTCTCCAGAAGAATACATACACGCCCATTACGACGAAACAGGCGGCGAGAAAGCCGAAGAGGATGCCGAGTTCGTGGGAGAGGGAGGTCATGGGGGTGTAGGGGGGGATGTTGTGCGGGTTGTTGTTATTATTAGTATTGGTGGTGGTAGGAGGGTTTATGGGGGAGGTGGTTGTGGTTGTGGTGTTGGACATTTTGATGATGTTGGTGGGATGGTTCTGAGGTTGGAGTTAGATTTGTTGGGATTGTAGAGGAGTAGTGGTGGTGGTGGTAGGGTTGGGTATGTGTAGTGGTTTGTTGGTTGGAGTTGGAGATGGATATGGTGATGGTGTTGTGGAAGTAGATGTAGATGTAGACGCGATGAGGATGTATGTGTGGTGGGATCTTCGATCAAGGGAACCCACACTTCTGCAAAGGAAGGACATTCACTGAGATAAAGAATGGAGATGACAGTAATCTGCAGTTCAGTTCGTATTCTTTGTCTGTCTGCGCGGTATCATCATTGGTTGTCGCACTCGTACTACCCGGCTCGGCCAACAAAGGCTGAATCAAAATCAACAGTGAAGTGAATGAATAGAATTCAGATTCATGATCAGTTAAGTAGTAAGTATAAGTGTAAGTAGTAGTAGTAGTAAGGTAGTGTAATAGTAAATACATCATCAAACAATAGCCTCAATGGCACAAATCAAGGTATCATGTACACGTACAAGAAGCGTCAGTAGAAGTAGGTAAAGGTGAAAGGTAAAAAGCACCCGGTCTATACATGGGGTATGGTATGAATGCAAAGGTCGAAAAGTAATGCAGACCTCACAAAAAGTGAAGTGAAGAAGCGAAAAATAAACTGCAGCACAGCCAAAAGTGATGGTGGCTGCTGCAATGCAATGCAAGCAACGCTCGTAGCAGAGAGCGACCGAACCAAGTCTAGTCGCCAAAGACTGTCGTGAAAAGAAATTATAATATAACTCCGAATGCAAGTTGGTGCAGCAGGAACCGTCGAGTCGAAAGTCGACGATAATCGTTGGAAGGTATCACCCCAGCATCACTGCTGCCAATGCCGTACAGGTCAATCCAATGGCCATGCCAATCCATGGTGTTTGTCCGAGTGTGCCTTCACTGCGTGCGCGCAACGCTTTGGTTTCCCCTGTCGTTGCGGCCAGGCCGATTCTCCCGCTCGCTGGTTCGGGCAGTTGATCCTGCACCCGTGTCGCATCTGTATTATCTTGAACCTCTAGCAGCGTGCGAATCTTCCGTAACTCCGCATGTTGCTCTGCATTCGACAGCATCGGGATCTCAGGCAACGGGGCGGGCGGGTTGGCATTGGGGAGGGACGGCGTAGGAGACACAGCGGGAGGTATTTGAGGATCGGCCTCGACGGCGAGGGCTATCGTCGGAGCGAGACAGAGGAGGATCGTGGAGGTCTTCATCGTGAATGTGTGGAGTGGATATGTGCTAGAATGCGACGAGAAAAGGTTGGTGCGGAGGGAAACAATGCAAGCAAGCAAGGCTGCGGGATTCCAGAACGTGCTGGATCAAAGCGAAGAAAACTCGTGCCAGGAATTATAATCCACCACTTCCAACGATACCAACAATAGCAACGGAAGAATCCAAGTCCCACAGTAACCGAAGTCAAGGTGTAAGCTGAGTCGAGATCTGAAACGGGGAGCGCGACAGATGCGAAGAGTCGAGAGCGCAAAAGAAACGACTGGCTGGTGTGTATCTCCTGAAACCTGTAACGAACAATACAGGAGAAGCAGGCAACGGCAACGACAGTGTATGTGTATGTTAAATAAATTGCAACAGCAACAACAACAACAACCACAGCAACGACCGTCTCCAACAACGACGGGCACAATACAATATAAATAAAGTACAAGCGAGAGCGAGAGTTGCAACAGGAGAGGAAATAAAAAAAGGGACGGACGGGAAAGCAGAAGAAGAAAAGAAGAAGGGGGGAAAAACAGGCGAAACGGCCCAGACGCTGACAGGCCAAGCTGGAACGGGGGGGCCCTGACCCTGGCCTTTGCCAAATTAGTGGAAATTTAATTCGTCTTTAGCGTTTTTTGCGCCGACCTCTCCTCTTCTAGGACAAAGCCCCACTTGCCCAAGTGGCCCCCAATAGATACCTAGTGGGGTTTGCCCAGCCTGCAGTGGCCCGCTATCCTAAATATCTAATTGGCTGTATCCTGCCGTGTCAGCACGGGCTGGGACTAGCGTCAGTTGAAAGGTTGTCTCGTGCCACTTACAGAAGCTTGTCAAGAAGGGCAGCGGTGGAACCAGGGACAATCCCTGTAACCATCGGCATCAGCTTTTGCCCGATTGGGGGAGGGTCTGGCCCGGGTGAACCAATAAGCAGGAGTAGAAACTCCACGCGAGGGCGAGGTTCATTTCCCGCTATTGGGTGAATTGGGGACGGGATGATAAGTTAGTGTAGTGCACTGTATAGGGCAGATAGATACTAGTTACTAGTATGGATGTTAGTAATAAACAGTATTATTTCCCAGTGTATCAGGCTATCTCGATTCCAAGTGAGACATTAATTTGCTTGTTGCTCACCGGCCCTGAAAATGACGAGCTTAAACTGGATTAATGATGATGTGCAAATCCCTCTCATCAACACGGGATGTCGCATCAGCTAACACTTCCCATCTATCATACTTCATTAAAGTCTATCGATCATCACATACTCGGTATCTCACACTTTATTACACACAGTGTCTGCCTCACTCTGCTGCTGCTGCTGCTGCTACCCTCGGGTGGTCCGTGTGCTAATTATAGTCCCGCTCATCACGCTGTTTCTCCGCGACAATCACTTCCACAAGGCAATCAACATCAACACCACACAATGGCTGTGGCGTGGCATGGCTGGCATTCTTTTCTTACGTCGTCACCTCTCACAGCCATCCATGTGGATAATACATCATCCCCAGGGTTTCTCCTCATTGGCATCTGAACTTTTGACAGTTCTATCTATATCTTCCATCTCTATGAACAAAACATCCGATCGGCTGTCCCCCAGCCATCCCGCATGACGTAAACCCCTTCCCTGCCTCCCAAATAAACAAGGCTATCACAACAACAACAACAGCCCCATCAGCAGTGGGATAGCGTCAACATCCACCAGCCTTCTCACTGTTACATACAACATCGTCCTGTTACAACATCTTCCCCCAGTCCGGTGTCACCGTAAACTTTCCACTCAGCTGTCCCATCGCCCACACCTTCTTCTCATCATCCGGGAATTCCTCGTCCGCTGCATTAGGCGGGGTCGACACGATCAACGCTTCTTGGAGAAAGTCCACGGCCGTTGCGCGATCCAGCTCGAAGCTGATTCCTCCCCAGTCCATCGTCACCCGACCCGACGCATGGACGTTCAGCTTGCCGACGCGCCCGGCGCTGAGGCCCCAGTCGGCTGCAGTGACAATCTTGGACGATGTCCCTGTTGCCGTGGCATCCTCCCCACCCTCGAGGATCTCGACGCCATCTTCGCGCTTGACGCCTGTCTGCTCTGACCCACTGGCCTCCGGTGCGCTCTGCCCCGCCATCGTCTCTGTAGCTTCATCCACTGGATTCTCGCTGTTGCCCGGTACCACCAGGTTCGGCGTCATCGGTGGGAATTGCATCAGGAACAGCTGCCCCGCCAACTTGTCCTTGTTGACATCCTCCTCCTCCTGCTCCTTGTCCTTGTCCTCCGTTGTACTGTCCTTCTCCTTATCCTGGTCGTTGGCAACCACAGCAGGGGCCTCTCCCTCTGCCGGGGTGGTGGTCTCCGATTTCTCAGGTTCAGGCTCCTTCTGGAAGAGGTCCTTGACAATCTCCAGGTCCTGCTCGTGTCGCTCGTACTCTTCGATATCCTCCTTCGTGCGTAGTAAACTCTTCGGGTCCTTCACGGCAGCAGGGATCTCCGATTCGGGCTGGGGCGTAGCTTCGTTCGACGGGGGTGTAATTTTCCTGCGCACCTTGACCTTCTGCACCGGCAGCAGTCCATCGTCCGTCGTAGCTGGCTCCTCCGCATGCGGAACATCTGTCATGACCTGATCATCATCATCCGTAGGCTCAGACTTGACCTTGAGCTCTCCCTCCGTAGTAGCCGCAGCATCATCATCAGTCTGCTGCACAAAGAGCGCGCCATCATCCTCCTTCGTCTGCGCCTTCGCCTTCTCCCTCAGCTCCGCCGACTTGCTGGAGCTCGACTCCATATTGACACTGACCGTGCGCTCTTCATGCTCATGTCTCTCAACCCGAATAGGCCGCAACCCCTTCTCCGCATCAGCATACTTGACCGCCGCCTTCCCCTTCTTACTATCAACCATCATCTGCTCCTGATCCTCCTCATCACTATCCAAATTGATCTGGTCAATACTAATGCGCACCTCCCCATCACTCTCATCTGACGAGTAATCGCGAGTCCCCGCCGCCGTATTACCCAGATCAATAACCGACCGACTGCGTCTCGACATAGACGAATGTCTCGAATCATTTCCAAACCGTCCGCCTCTACCCCGACGCCCAGACATCCCCGATCCCAATGGCCCACCCGCAGACCCCAGAGGTCCGCCACGCCCGCGCCCAAACCCACCGCGACCACCAGGACCGCCCTGGTCCCGGCCGCGCTGGATCGCCGCCGCCTCCTTCAGGCGCTCACGATGCCGCTCGGCTTCGAGCTTCTCAATGGCTTCTCGCTCCTCCTTGCTGCGACGGCCGACGGCGCGCGGCTTGTATTTCAGTGTGGGTTTGGCGGGTTCGCCGGGCGCAGCGGGCGCGCCGGGGGGTTTCGCGGCCGGCCCGATGCTGCCGGAGGGTGTGCGTTTCTTGAGCGATTGAAGGCGCTGGACGGGGGCTCGCCCGGAGGCTGATGGGCCGGGCGTGGGAGTCTGAGAGTCGCCGGTGGTGGTGGCGCTGGGCGCGGGACTCGCTGAGGCAGTTGTAGATGCATTGGCGCGGCTGGCTGCGCCGGCTGGTGCTCCTCGTCGGGGAGCACCTTTCGGAGGCATGATGGGTGGATGTGGATGTGGATGATCGATGCGGTGGAAAGGGTGGGATTGAGTAGCGTTGAAGTAGTGTTAAAGTAGGGACGAGCTGGAAGGGTATATAGAGGGTGGCTCGTCCGGAGATAGGGAAGAGGAAAAGTAGAAATGAAAGGCAGGGAGAGGATTGGTAATGAAGTCGAGTGAAGATGAAGATACGGAACTTTTTGGCAGGATCCGCGCCCGCTCGGCGTTGGAGAAAAAAAGGAAATTATCGCCTCAGGCCGCTAATGCGGGGCAACACCAGTCAGCTGGCGCTAACCCGATCCGGACATCACCTCAGATGTTGCTTCAATAATTCTGTCAATTAATGGCAGCCATTCACTGGATGTGATGGATCGCATTGAGTTGGTCTTGAACAATGGGTCTATTCAAATGTAGCGATTACTAGGCTAGAGACTTTCTATTCTGTCTATTGGCTAGCCTTCTACTACCAGCTCGCTTACGGCTCTGCTATGGTTCATAAAATTCAATATATATTTCCTATTGATCACACTAGACCTCTTTGCAAGTTGTAACTCATCTCCAGTTGAAATCAGACGGGCACCAGCAAAGCCATTCAAAATACAACCAAGTAATCCAGATACATCTGCTCTTTCAATGGGGGCCTAAATGAGTGGAGGCGACCCAGGACCGTGGCCGCGAAAACATTGCAGCAACTAACGCCAAAAGACACAACTCAGGAAGCTCAATCAACCCGCTCAGCTCAATCGCTAGACTATCCATGAGAAATAACAGGCCAGGCAGAATGCAGACGGTAATGCGAACTAGGTTGGCGATCCGAGGAGAGAGAGGTAGAGAGGTAGAGAGAGAATGAAGGGAGCGCGGCACTCGTGACTTCGATGCAAGACACAAAGAGAGACGTCGTGCACGAATCCGCCGGTGATGAAGGAAGGACATCCCAAGAGGCAGGCCGGCTCGGGGGAGAGGAAGAGATATTCAGTGATATGATGGGGGAGATTCGGAGAGTTTCAAGATGATCAAGCCAACGGTCCGCGTGGAAAAACTCGTTAAGGAGGGGAAGGATACAATGCACGGAAGAATGTCGATTCGTCTATGTTAAAAGGTGTAATATGTCAGGAGAAATGCAGCCATCCAGGCGCAGCTCATCAATGGTTCGGTACGACCGGTGTGGGCGAAAAGGAAAAAGTGAGTTAGAGGAGCGAGAAATCCGAGAGGTCATGGGCAGACATAGCCATCCTCATTGCTGGGATTGGAATCCAGCTAACGCTTGCGCTTCTTGTTCTTATCCACGCTAGCCGCCGTGGTCACCGGAATAGCGGCCACGATGGACTGCGTCTCGACTCCATTCGGAGTGGCGTCGAATGCTTTCTTGACAGGGACCCCCATGTGGCGACCATAGCGGCCTTTGCGACCGTTTCCTTCGTCTTCGCTGATGCACCCTTCGATGCCGATGCCAGCATCCTTGCATCGGCCGCAAGGGCGTTGCCGATCGCAGCCTTTCTTGCTCTTCCGGCATCGTTGGCAACGCGGCTTGGTCGACAAGTCCTCCTCGTCGGCGGCGAGCTGGTGCTGGAAGTTGACGGACGAAGTCGAGGTTTTGCGGACCGGCACCGGGCTCATCATCTGCGGTGATACCGCCGTTTTCTGAGTCACCGTGGTAGACGTCGCCTTGACTTTACGAGCGGCCCCATTAGCCGCTGGCTTGCTGCTCTTATTCGGACGCACGGGTGCTGGCTTGGGCCCGCGCGCCTTGGTGGAGGTGGCAGCATGGGTGGGCCGAGTCTTCGCCTTCTTGGACTTGGGAGCGTCCCGGTAGAGAGTATCCTCCTCCATATCATGCCTCACCAAGGTGTCGTTCAACTCTTCATGTTGGTAATCCTCATCGTAGCCGTCGTAACTTCCATCAGAGCTGTCAAAGCTGGGAAGGATATCGTCCAGATGCTTGTGTGTGTGCTTGGTGGCCCCGGGTGGGAGCATGGGGCTGGAGTCGAGCCGCTGCTTGGACCGAGCGGGCAGATCATCGTCATCATCGCTGTAGTCATCACCATCGCTGGTTGCGCCCGTCGACGATGCAGCATCAGCGGCACCGCTGAAGGCATCATCAAGCGTGGAGGCAGATGTACGGCCGTGCGAAAAATTGGAAGCGTCTCCCAGACGAATCAATTGCATGGCAACATCCTCGTCGGAGATACAGCTGGCAATGGTAGGATCCGGGGTGGGGAGGATGCCCGGGCCGCCGCCCCGACCAGCCTGGTTGCTATACTGCCCACCAGAGGACTGAGTAGTGGCTCGGTCGCGCAGCCGGTGGCCATGCTCAGGAACCACGGGAGTCGCGTACACAGGATTGCGCACCGGATTGACGTTGTAGATTTGCTCATTGTATCCATAGCTTTGTGGAGACGGCAATGGTTGTTGGTTGTATGGGCGCTGGGTGGGGCGTGCGAAAGGTGAGATGGCCCCTTCCTGACCGATTGACCGGCGTTGGGGCGAGATCGACGACGTGGAGGTTGTAAGCGGGACCTGGGGAGGAACGAACAAAGGCAATTCCTGGAGAGGAGACAAAGAGAGAACATTAGCAAGTCTGGTTCAACAAAGACGGGGCACGAAAAGATGCCTGCCACGAACCGAACTTTCAAACTTGGGCCGCTTCCGGCGGCCATCTTGGAGGATGTTTTCCATGCTGATATCTGAGCTGCCAAACTGCTCGGTGCGGGACTTCTTCGTCCCAGAGTAGCCACCCTCGCTATCGCTATAACCAGGGGTACCCTCCTCGTGGAAGCTGCCATGAGTGCTCGAGCCTCTGCTCTTGTTGCCTACCCGAGACGACTGCTTGTTCTGGGATGCGCTACGACGGCTGCGACCAGACGGGGATATGCTGCGTTTCCGAGCCAGCCGCGACGCCGGCCGAGAAGGTGGTTGGCCGTGTTCCAAGACCTGCGCCGGCGGCATGGCCGGCGGCATCTGGAAGGGCTCCCCTAAGCTGGGACGCTTGCGGGCATCGGCTGGGAGATGCCCATAAAAGCGATCGCCGTAGCCCTCTGTGTACGCCTGGACGGGGATAACCCGCACATAAACAGTCATGTTGTTCCGTAGATTCTCATACCTGGCAATGAGGGTGATACCTTGCTCATCTTCGAAGCTGACACCGCTCGCAGCACCGTCGTAGATGCCATAAAAATTCTTAACCGTAGTCACAATGGAATCCGTTGTGTCATGAGGATAGATCTGTACCCGCATCGGTATGCGGGCCCGGACCTTGGAGTTCTCATCGAGAAGTAGCTCAAAGGCGACGTTCTTAGGAACCGAGCTCCGAGGGGAGGGTTCCTGAGGCGGCGCACGATGGTCGGTGTAGGCAGGCGACTCCCCAGGGGCAGCATGCTGTTCGTAGTGGACAGCCTGCATGGTGGGAGAGTCTGAAGAGAGGTACTACCACACTGCTACTACATTGATGTATGAATCAATCGGGTGTTCGAATTCGGGTGGGAAGAGCGGTCCGGGCGAGAAGAGACAGAGGGTGGGGGGGAAGAGGGAAGCAGGCAGAGACGGGGAGGAATAGGAGGGTATGGGCAAATTCCATCCAAACCTACCACAACAGAGAAACCAGAGGGGTTCAGTTGAAAGATGGACTACCCGCGACAGTTTTTATGGATGTGTTGGATGGCGACTCAAGAGGGTGGTCGGTGGGAGGACGACGGCACCTCAGTCGCAAGAGCCGAGAGCGACGGGAAAGGCAAAGAAAAAGACGGTCGAAAAGCTGGACAACCACCACCACCAAGGTTAGCACAATGTGATGCAAAAGATGTCAATGAGAAAGGACGATGTGTAGAGAAGGGAATCCAGGTTTATTCGATGACGCCGAGACCTCCCCTGTCGAATCCTGATGGGATTGCAGATTGGGAGGAGGAAGAGACGACCCGAAACACTCGGAAGACGATGGATGGCATCAAAGACGTACCGATGGGAAATCAAACCTATTTGTGTAGAGTCGCACCCGAGTATCGGATCCGACGAGATGAGAAAGGAAGGATAGCGATGGTGGTTGAGGGAGTAGGAAGAGGGGTGGGCCGTGGGAGGTGAGTCGTTCTACCAAGCGCTTGGGTATGTCAGCGGTGGCATCACGCAGAGCCGAAGCGAGTCAGGAGAACCAAATGGTCAGGAAAGGGGGAGAGCGGGTGCGAAAGAAGATCAAGATCATGCTAAACGATAGACCGGGACCTACCTGATAGATATGCACCAAAAAATCGAAGGGAAATGGTGGAGTGAGTGGGCGAGAAGAAGTCGGGTTGGGTCGAAGAGAAGGTTGAGGAGGAAGAGAGAGAGAGAGAGAGAGGAAGAGGGAGTGGGCGCTGGATGGATGGATGGATGTGGTTTCACCCAAAGCGAGCAGAGGTGGCCTGGGTCGGTGACAATCCATCCTCTCGAATGCACCCTTTTCCCCCCCACAGACTCCCCCGACTTCCTTCCAGATGCGAATTGATTCTCTATATTCTCCATTCAACCCTTTTTTCCATTTGCGCGTGGCTTTCTTTCATCGCAAAATCCTAAATCGCATTGCGTCCGAACGGACCGGCTTCTATCTGGATCTACGAGATCGGCGACTCTGCCTGGAAGGACTTCTGGTAGAAAATCATGTACAAAGTACCTGTCAGATGAATCGCTAAAACTACACTTTTATATTGCTATAACTTTGGTCATAAAATAATGCCAGTGATGGGGTGAAGGGTGAGTGCAAAGTGCTGTTGGATCTCTGGAGTATCGGCCGGGTGTTGGCGCAAACGACGGCGACATTGTCGATCTGCGACCACAGAGAACAGGTGCAGCAGTACTTTTTGAACTGCCAATCTACGGACAATACAGGAACATACACACGGAAAGAGAATACTTGTGGATTACGATCATAATAATTATTATTATTATTTACTGTTACCATTTAATTCTTTGTGCACCCAACGGAAGAGATGGTTGACCAGATGAAGCGGAGTGGCGTAGGGTTGGCTGGCACTTCCTCAGCGCGGCCACGTCGAATGACACCCCCGATCACATCCCGGCTGCGGAGAGCGAGTGATGGGACGCTCTTCTTCATGTCCGTCCCCATTTCGGGTTTAACTCCTGGGAAGATGGGAAGCAGAATGGCTAAAGAATCAAGTCGTAGCGAATGCTCTAAAAAGAGCGAAATAACCATTGCAGACCAAACAAGCAGCGAAAAGATCCGAAGAATGTTATCCTGGGGAATAAGGTTGGTTCCCTTTTTTTTCCCTACGTGGATGGGCATAAGACGCAATTAAAGACGACCGACCAACTGTCTCCGGAAAGAACTGAACTTGTTCCCCCCCTCTCGCAGCGACCAATTCCCTCAACGCTGGTCGCGCAAGGTTCTTACCATGCTCAATGCTGCCATTCCATTACTCGCGGGGCGTAAGACATGCATGATGGTTTGGATAACCGGTTGAAAGGGCGATCGATGCTCCGGATCTCCATGTTGGGGAAAAGGAAAGGAAATCTCCTCTCTACGGCGCAAATGTCCTCCATGGCCTCAGGCTCATCATCATCCATCACCAATATGTAGACTACTTAGTAATAATCAGTACTCCGTAGTTAGTAGTTAGTATCCAGACATCGCCAGCGCAGAATCCCAGAGAAACAACCAGACCATCATCATCATCACCACCAAACAAAAAAAGCAAAGGAAATACTACTTAACGGAACAGCATGCAATGGAATGAGGGGAGGGCAATCCACCACACCCAACCATCGCTACCGGGGGATGGAGACGAGAACAGTGATTGAGATTAATTGGGCCAGGATGCTGCAACGACACAGAGCCAACAAGCCGACGAGCAACAACGCCCAATTGTTGCCTCGTTTCATGATCTGCGCCTGTCCAGACTCGTCCTTTTACCCCTCCTCGGAAAACGGTGGGCTACGTAAGGATCCCCGTCTTTCCTTCACCAACTTTCGGGCAGGCATAAAGGACTTAGTATTCTTTTGCGACCAGACTGAACTGACAGCAAAGATACTCTCATCATTATCATCCACTAACTTAGCACCTCCAATCCTATGGACTGTCATTTGGCTTCCTGTCCCGCGGGTCCCTAAATCGCATCTGCCAGGCCGGCCATTCCCATGTCTGCAAGGTCCAGTGCAACTTCGCAGCGGCCTGTGAACTAAACCTTCGGAGGGTTCCCTTTGACTGTCAATCCGCTGTTTAACCATGTCTTGCGCGTTGTACTGGGGTCTCTACATAATTTCATCCTGGCCCCAAGCGATCGAATGAGAATGACTGAAGAACAACCAACTGGCGCAACAATGCCGTTAGCCGGGTGGGGGGAAATCAACTGGAAGGAGACTGCATTCCGCAGGGAAGCTGAATGAGGATGACAATAATGGGATCATATATATATATATATATATATATATATATATATATCTACAGCAAGATATAGGCTCTGTCGCTTCTTTCTCTTGTGTTTGTCAAAGTAATAATGTTCATTTCAAATTGAACACAATCCGATCTCGTGCGATCACTCCAATTGTAGAGTTTGGAAGTGTTCCTTATTGAGGCACTCAAAGCGGGGCCTGCTCCAGAGTCAATAACCAGTCCGGCCGGTGCTTCAATAGTCATCATTATGTTGCCCATTTATGTTAGTTAACTAACTGGCTTTGCTATTGTTGTTGGTCAGCCGCCAGGCCAAACACACACCGAAACTTTGCGTATCTTCAATAGTCCGCTTTCACCGTTCGGTTGTCCGCGACACCTCAAATGGCGGCTGGTCGCCAGCAATCCCAGTGTTTCATCCTTTCCATCTTCTCTCTCTTCCTCTACAATGCACAATGGATCACTGCATCAATCAGAGTGAATTTGCGACCATCGCATAACACATACCACCAATACTGGCTATTTCACTGATGGCAAATCCGGTGGAGGTCGGGACTTTTTCGCACACGACCATCGACAAAACCCGCTCTCATGAATCCCGCCGCCTCATGATAGGTACCGCCGGATCCGCGTCCCACAATGGGGGGAAACTTGTGGCTTCCTGGCGAGGTTGGCATTTTGCGCGGGTGTAAACGGGACCCAAAGATCAGTCCAAAGTAAGTGCCAGTTAGAAAACCCGCAAAAAGAGCCAGGCCAAAGATACAAACTGTAAGCCTACAGGAAACATGGATTCCTCATGTCATTGACGGGTTTGCGATTATCATGGCCCGTCATCATTGGCATTACCAGGTTCCAGCTGGAATCTCGACCCGAATGGCCCATCCACTCCATCCTGGTCGAGACGTTTCGCTCAAAGACAATTAGGTGCCCTGCCATGCGACACCGGTGAGCCTGGTTAATAGTGCGATCGGAGGTCCTGGATAATCAGGTTGGTCGCAGGCTGAATTCAACATTCCGGTTGCTCCAACCTCCGCTTCAAGCGTCAAATCCCGGAGCAAAGATGGCAGCTCTCCCGCCCGTTCGGGATCACGTGAACTCGCGTTGGGTGAAGGCCGGCTTCGTGTGACCCGGCGCGTCAAGAACCTGGGGGAATATCTACCATAATTGTCCACCACAACCGTAAGTATAAGCAGGAAGTGCTGTCGTTCTAGAATCGCAAAATAGCCTGCGGTATAAAGCGCTTTTTATAACCAGACATAGCTGGGTTTGGAAGAGAAAGATGGGCAGTAAAGGAATTGATGTGCTTGTGGGAAGACGCGTTAGATGATGTCACCCGCTCTGGGGAGCGAGCAAACAGCGCAAACAGCGGCTGACCTAAGCATGCCATAGCAACCCCCGAAGCGGACTAGCGCGGGTGTTGTTGACGGTAACCAAGTAAGGAAGTGACCGTTTCGGGCAATGCTGGTGGTTGCCCTTGAGATTCAGGTCAAACTCAGCTTTTGTTTGTCCTGCCCTTTCTTCGTTGCTGGTCGCCCTGTCTTTGTCAATGTATTGGTGTTAGTCGTCGTCTTTCAACCAGCCTCTTCCCTCTCGTGGCAGCCAACCTTAACACTCAAACCTGGTCGAACTGGCGCTATCGCTCGAGCCCTTGGCGCGGTTTTGTGTTTGTTTGGGGTCGCATTTTTAGTATAACTTTAGCTGCGACGACCAACTCCTGCGCAGGGCGCAGAGAAGTAAACAACCACCCACCCTTCCCCAAGCTCCCCCAAACACGGTTCTCGAGGCTTCAGAGTACCGCCTCTCTTCATCCAAGATGGATGCAAAGGTACGTTATCTTCCATTGCATGTTCTTCCTGCCTGTCAGCCGTCCAATCGGCTTATAAACATGGCATGCATGTTCACGGTGCTGCACGCGCACTGAGGGTTTAGCCTCCGATTATCCCTTCACCAAGGTCGCGACTTAGTTAATAACACTGAGCTGACGAGATTTATGGCATTAGCCCCAGAGAATTCGCGTCCGTGGTGACGAGAATGCCCCCTTCCCTCTCGCAGCCAACAAGGCCCTTACCCAGAAAAACAAATCCACGCCTGCCTTGTCCACCATGTTCCAGAACGGCGCTAACAAAGGTGCGGCCAAGCGGGCTGCTTTTGGCGATGTCAGCAACACGGCCAAACCAATTGCCGGTCGCGATGATATCTCCCTGGCGGGCAAGAAGCAGACCAAAGGGGCAGAGAAGGCGGCGTTGATCGTCGAGAAGAAGGCCAGCCTGGCGCAGCCAGCTCAGCGGCCCATGTCAATGGCTGGTATGAAAGGCCTCTTGAACAATGTTCCCAACGCCAAACCCATTGAACCTTCCAAGCAAATCGCCTTGCAGCAGCAAACTGCAAATGCGAGAAAGATCTTAAACAAGCGGGCTACAGTATTCAAAGACGCGTCGGAACCGTCTAACAACAAATGCGAAATTACATCCAAGGAAACCAACACCGAACTCGAGGAAGGGGACAACAAGGCATCCCTTGCACAGGCGCCCGCAGCTGCGAAGCGGACCACTACTACGGAGGAACCTACACACGAAGAACCGAAGCCAGTCCTGGAAGACGCCGAAGAGCATTCCATTGTGGACTCTGAGGTGGACGAGACAGAGAAGGCTTTGCTGGAGGTTGATGATGATCATTGCAAGGTCCAGGGTCATAGCGAGGATCCCAAGCCCCACGAGCTTCCCGCTGCGCCGGAGGTTCCTGAACCTAACCGTGTCGCGAAGGCTCATCGTGACTCTGCCTCGACCTCGCATGCACCAGCACAGTCGGAGCCGGAAGATTGGGACGAAGAGGACGAGCATGAGGAGGAAGATGGGTATATCACTGCTCGCTCCTACCGCTCTCGCGGCGAAAATACCACCGGGGGTGCCACCACAGTGCTTTTCCCCAAATTCACCCAGCAAGTCCGACGCGAACTAGCTCTCGCGGAGCAGGTCGTGGAGGCCACACGGACTGAGGAAGACATTGAAGATGAATGGTACGATACAAGCATGGTTGCTGAGTACAGCGAGGAGATTTTCGAATACATGAGAGAACAAGAGGTACGTACTAAGTCTGGAGAAACCTGATCCTATGTAGTTAGATACTTACATGGCCTACAGATCAAGATGCTACCCAATGCTCACTATATGGATAACCAAGCCGAGATCCAATGGTCTATGCGGTCTGTGCTTATGGACTGGGTCGTGCAGGTCCACTATCGGTTCTCGTTGCTTCCCGAGACCCTCTTTCTGTGTGTCAACTACATCGACCGCTTTCTTTCTTGCAAGATCGTGTCCCTGGGCAAACTTCAGCTTGTGGGTGCCACTGCCATCTTCATCGCCGCCAAGTATGAGGAGATCAACTGCCCGTCCGTGCAGGAAATTGTCTACATGGTAGATGGAGGATATTCCATGGACGAGATTCTCAAAGCTGAGCGTTTCATGTTGAGCATGTTGCAGTTCGAGCTGGGATGGCCTGGCCCGATGAGTTTCCTGCGGAGGATCAGCAAGGCCGACGACTACGACTTGGAGACGCGCACTCTTGCCAAGTACTTCTTGGAGATCACCGTCATGGATGAGCGTTTTGTCGGAAGCCCCGCGAGCTTCGTTGCCGCTGGCGCTCACTGCCTGGCTAGGCTCATGCTGCGGAAGGGAACCTGGGTATGTCCTTGACCTGCTGAAGTTCGAAAGAAGTCGTCCTAACATGTTCCCAGACTCCCGCTCACGCCCACTATGCCGGATACACTTACACGCAGCTTCTCCCACTCATTTCTCTCATGGTGGAATGCTGCGAGAACCCTCGCAAGCACCACGGCTCTATCTACGAGAAATTCTCGGACAAACGCTACAAGCGCGCTTCTCTGTTCGTTGAGAACGAGATGAGAAAGGGATTCATTGTCCCAGAGCAGGCCAGAGATAGCTCTTATTCTGATCGCAACGCATCAACTGAACCAGCGCCCTACTGGAAGCGCGCATAGCTTCTTATCTAGTCACTCACGCTGAATCCCTCGACCTCTTCTAACCGCTACCACTTACAGAAAACTCAACCCATCGTCGTCGTTTACTTCTGCATATAGAGCATGAAAATGTCTGACACGGCGCAGGGGTTCAGGGTTTGCTGGCTACACTGACCTGCAACCCGTGCCTGTTGAAAGCTGCTAATATCTGAAAATAAGAGGCGTGAGTGTGCGCAGAAGCTCACGTCGCCAATACCCCAGGATCAAGGTCCTCACACCCTCATTTACCTTTTTTATGATACCAAGACATGTGACGCCTATGGCCATCCATGCAAGATGTAGACCACGCAAGAAAAACCGATGCCGTGATCGGAAATCGGATGTCAGGGAGACGGAGTTCTTTTGCTTTTACTTCATTTCTTTTTTTCTTCTCTATTAATGATTTGCACGACAATTGATTCATGCAAGCAGTCCGGGTTCGGGAGTTAATGGGTCGATGGCTGTCTTTTCTTACAATCCCTTCCTTTACATTTTCTTCATTTCTCTCCTATGTCGTTATGCCCTTGTGTTCTTTTACCTTTCTCGACTATCACGACCTATCTCACGCTCCCGGCAGATTGCTGCTATCCACGGAATCTTCACGACGAACGGCGAGCTCCCCCGAGCATCGCTATAATTCATTGCCCTCTGATTTCCTTTGTTTCGTTGGAAATGACGTTTACCGTTCGTCTATTACCGCATGCATCGTTCTGTGGATTATTATCCAGGTTTATGACCCACCAGTTAATGCCATTGGATCTATCTCTTTAGCTCCAGATTTAGAGGACTATACATCGTAGTATCTAAGAACCTAGGCCGATCAGTAACATCAAATTCATCATGACATTCACCCACATCTACTTTTGCATCATCATCTATCTAGCATCTACACCTTACTATATATCCATACCTCTAGCCCAAGAAATCCTCACCAGTAACCAAAACATCTCACCCTAAAATATATACCCCCACCCCCCTCACTGATCCAACCCATTAAACTCAATCAACCTCTTCACGACCTCAACCACCTTATCCGCCGTCTTCGCCCGATCACCATTCCCGGCACCATCACCGCCATTAGGCTGATCAATCCGCATGGCAATAATCTCATCCAGCATCATCCGCAACCTGGACACCAAAACACCGATCCGAGCCCATCCGCGCAGCCGTAACCATCCATCGACGATTAAGCCGCGACCCGCGGTGTCGAGGTCAATGGATCCGCAGAAGAGGAGGAGGGAGTAGGCGTTGAATGCTATACATATATCATATTAGTATAGTTCCTTAACAGGCGTTGTATAGTAGAGGAATGATTGGGGGCAACTTACGCGTCAAATCACGAATAAACACCTTACTCGTGGCCATTTTGGTAAAGTAGCTGAGATATGCAGATGAGCTGGGGTAGGATTGGGCCGAGAAGCAGACGGAGGAAGGATGGATGAAGACGCGGCCGTTCTCTTGGTTGAAGTATTTGATTGTTCGTGCGTCCGGGTCGATTTCCACGGTGCCTGTGACGGAGCTGGCGAATTTCTTGTCGGGGAAGGAGATTTGTGCGATTTGAGGTTGGAAAGCGCCGGCGATTAGGGCGCGGAGGAGGGGTTTGTTGGTTGCGTTGCGGTTCCAGTGGGAGGATGAGTCTGAGGAGGTGTAGTCGACGGGGAGGAGGCCGGCGTCTTTGAGGGAGGTGAGGAGTTGGGATTTGTTGGAGGAGATGTCGCGGAGGGTTTGGTGGGAGAGGAAGTTGGCGGAGCACCAGGATTGGGTTTGCCAGTAGCCTTGGGCGTTGACGCGGTCGGACCATTGTTGGTAGGCGAGGAGGTCAGTGAGAAGGTCGCCGTCGGCGCCTTTGGAGAAGGAGGCCTTTGCGGCGTTGGCTTCGTCGCGTTTCTCGCGTGGGGAGACGAATGGGCTCTTGACGGTTAGGATGGCGGAGATGGTGACGCAGGCGTCGATGCAGCTGAAGATGGAGCCGTAGACCATCAGCTTTGCGCAGCGGAGGTCCGCTGGGATCATGGAGAGGTAGCGACCCAGGGCGGTTAGTTTGTCGTGGTCGAGAGCGCCGACGCGGTGGAGGAAGTCGAGGGCTCCTTCGACGGCGGTGCTTTCGGGTGGGGTGATGGTGTTGGCTAGGAAGGTGGCGACGTCGTTG